TAAAATAGAATATATAATTGAAATATTGTTGAACTGGAGTTTGTCTAAGAAATCGAATAAAACAAATAATCGAACATGTAGTACCGATAACTGCACAAACAGGCAAGATAATTAAATGGTACAATTGAATGTTATACTCGTCACTAGTTGCTGTTGAATTATCCTTCGCCTCGATCATTCTCAACCACGTTAACAACTTCGTGAATATGAGAAAGATGAAGATAAGAGAAGATTTTCACAGGTGATGAATTTTGATTTCTATGGAAGAAATGTTGCACAATTAATGTTGCAATTATTTGAGTAAAAGTATATCATTTAATATAATTGAAAAACATTTTCGTATAATCATTTTACATAAAAAGCGAGCTTTTGATACTTCATAGTACCATCAGCAGGCTAATATGACTGTTGAATTTAGAAGAGAGATGATTATATATACTCGTTGAAACAAGGAGAAAGAAAGAACTAGAACAATTTAAAATAGAAAAATATGTAGTATAGAATTGAGTGACTGTTTAGTCTTTTATTTTGGAGTGTAATATTTTACTTAGAATTAATAAATTTTCTGACAAAGGAACATCGCCAGATGTACAACTCCAATTTGAATGATATTGAGGGTATAGATACTATACATGGTCCTAGTAAAAAGCCCGAAAAGGATTCTAGCTCATATCACTTCTTACAAGAGTTACTAGAATTTTTTAATTTTGCTTGTACAAGGCGTACCAACCGAAAAAGAAAAAGCGTATAACTCATTTAAACAAAGTCGTAGCGACCTGAAATTTTTTTCTGTGGTAGTTTAGATGTCTAGATAGTCTACAGAATGTTTTCATTAATCAAGAACGAAAGTTTGAGGTTCAAAGGCGATTAGATACCGTCCTAGTTCAAACCATAAAGGTTGCCAACACTTGTTCTTTTTCGGTTGGTACGCCTTGTACAAGCAAAACTAAAAATTCTATAACTTTAAAAAGAAGTGATAAGGGCTACAATCCTTTTAGAATGCACTCCTTTTTTACTAGGACCATGTATAGTATCTATTATACCATGCAAAATAAATGAAAAAAATATCGAGCATTATTTATGCACGTTTCTGATGCGCCGGCGATTTAATTGTTTTTCCATTAGAAAGAGCAAAGTCTGAACTTCAAAGAACAAGAAAAAAAAACAAAAATATCTCTGAACAAATCCAAAATGTCTGTCGTATCGACATAAAAACCATCCGTATGTAATGAGGCTACCAAACTACCATTATAAAAAATGTTGTAGGAATGAAATTTTAATTAGATATTCTGAAAGGCGGGAGTCTGTACTACAAACTGATATAACTCAAATTTAGTTGAATATTAAGGATACCCTTCTCTCATTCTGGGTTTTCTGTAGAAATGCTGTGAAATAAAAACTAAAAGTCACTAAGGCTTCATATTTTCAGGACTGATTGGAAACTCAATGAAGCCCTTTTCAATGAAGCACACTCAAATAAAAACCGTAGTTTTCATACATACGTCGAACGATAATTCAATCAAACCACTATACCTGGTGTCCAACTCGATTTTGTACAATGAATACAGTTTAGAGATGTGCACGGGTACCGTTGTCGTACCCACACCCGACCCGATCCGAAAACTTTGTACCCGTACTCGACCCGTACCCGACTTATGCCTAAAAATTTTCTCCGTTTCGTTTTCCAGTTAGATACTGTTGTTTTTCGGCTGGAGATGACAAATTATCATTACATTCTCAAGTAACTGTTTTTTAAAACTTCATGTATTTTAGCTATTTATTATTAGTGACTTGTATTTAGTCACTAAAATTTTGTGGTTTTTATCACGTAATTATAAAGAGTGCATAAAAAATCCGCTAAAACATAACCAAATTTAAACTTTCTCGATATACTTCAAATGAAATCGTCTAAGTGGAAGATAGAACTTTTCAAGGTTTACACGATGGCTATTTCAGATTTTCACAAACGTTGAGTAAATAAAATTAAAAAATAATGATTTTTAATTTATTTTTTATGTAAAGAAGTAAATACAAACGGTGATGATTTATTGGAGACTTGAATCCGAAAATATACCATGAGTAATTGTTTGATATAAGAGTTTGGTAAATCATAAATGATGATTCAAACAAGTACTTTCTGTGACATTAGAATGTAGAAGTATAATATTCGACAACGATTGACTATTTCAATATGATAGAGTACTGACTCATACCAATTGTTCATCACAAAAATGCTGTGATAATTTGGCGAAAAAAATGTATAGTCAAAAAATAGACTCTTCTACTGTTTGGAAAGGACAGATTACCAATTTCGAGTGAGAAAGAGCGTAAAAAACTGCCGCTTTTGCTACATTTGAAAGCTAATTTCAAGTCGGAAAATTTTGATGACATAACTATACTTTTGATCTATACCGATGCCTGTAAACAACATGATGAAGTATCAACAGTCGTGACAACAATGACAAGGGAGGGGAGCGATTTTGAAAAAAATCTCTAAACTGGTCTACATTTCGTGAGGAGAGGAGTTTATGTATAACTAGCTTATTTATCTCTGAAATTACCCGATTTGAGCTAAAAACTATGCCACTTTTCCAGAAATAGTCGTAGAGGACTTGTGAATGTGTTGTTCTGAAGAGAAAGTTCTCTTCATCAGTAACAATGATCGAACAGAGCTATAGAAGACTTTCTGATCTTTCTGCGCCTAAAATTCGTAGTCGGAACGTCTTTCTGGAAAAAGACGTTTCTGCACAAGTATTCTGAACTTTTGTTCGCTGGCATATATCAATAACTGATGATTGAGATGGCTGTTATACGATACCTGTAGATAGTATTATCCATCTCACTGTAACGGATTGGGCAGAGGAAATGGTGCGACTTTTGAGAGGCTGTTTCTCAAGTTAGACTGGATCAGAAAGTTTCGTTCTGATGGTAGAAGATAGAGAATTTTGTGTAGATTTTATTGATATGTTCTTTGTAAAATAAGTGTTTACCGTTTTTTTGTAGCAGTAAAAGTACTGGATGCCATAAAAACACCACTTGCTCAACTAGAAAGTCAGAAAGTTTTGAAAATCAATTTTTGTCGAGTAAGATTCAGTTCAAAAAATTTTCCTGATAGTAAGAGATGTAGAATTTTTCGGTGCATCTAACGGAGTCGTACTTGTCTTTAGCAATTTTTCTCAAAATTCGGACTCACAATAATTATGTTTTTATACCAACAGATGCAGAATTTCAAGCTCTAGAAAATGCTCTTTTTTATAATGGCTGACATGTTTTTCTAACCGAATGAATAAGTTCAGATATTTTCCTGGACATGAAAGGCGCTAAAAATTGATAATTAGCCATCTTTTGTAGACAGCTTTTAAAATAGTAAAAATTTGTCCAAAAATTTGATTTTGTGTCGCAAAAACAAATATGTTTCTGTTCTTTTTCATACTGTGTTTGAATTAGAGCTGGCACATTACTATTACTGTTACCAGTAATACAAATATTGTATATATTACTGTTACTGGTAACACTAATGCTGAATAGTATTCCTATTACCAGTAACAGTAATACAGGCAGTATTAGTGTTACCAGTAACAGTAATATTCATAAAATTAGTATTGCTTTCCAGTAAAGTAATACAAGGAAAAAAAAAGATCGATAGAGGCACCACTATCAACACGAAAACACCATGTTATTTCCTATTGATTGTGGTGCCCCCTCAGTGAATTTCTTTTTCTTATATTACTTTACTGAAAAGCAACACTAATTTTATGAATATTACTATTACTGGTAACACTAATACTGCCAGTATTACTGTTACTGGTAATAGGAATACTATTCAGTATTACTGTTATTAGTAATAGGAATACATGGAAGATTACATAATCATCGCATAAATCGTCAATTTTAATTCTCATTTTTTTTTCTTAGAAGATTATTTTGTTGCATGTTGTTTGTAATAATATCCCTAGTGATTTATAATAATGATTCTCTAGAACAAAAACAAAGACATAAATGATGGCACTACCGAAATCTTTTTTATGATTATCTTTTTTTAAGATTACTGTTACCAGTAACAGTAATATATACCTTTTAGTATTACTTTCCTTGGTAATGTAATACATGAGTAATAGTAATACTGCCACCCCTAGTTTGAATAGTGTATACAAAATTATTTGGCAAATAAAAGGAACATTTTATTCTAGTAAAGTGCTGAGCAAGTGATGTTTTTGTGGCATCCAATACTTTTACTACTACAAAAAAACGGCAAATGCTTATTTTACAAACAATATATCAATACAATCTACACAAAATTCTCTATCTTTTAGCATCAGAATGAAACTTTCTGATCTAGTCTAACTTGAGAAGTAGCCCATCAAAAATCGCGCCATTTCCTCTGCCCAACCCTTTATAAATGTGCTTGACGTAATTCGAATTTGGAGAAATATCGAAAAAACAAAATGCTTTAAACTTTGGTCTCTCGTTTTAGTGCATAAAAATTTATTTCAAAATACGTATGCAAATATATAGAGATATCGTTTTATCTATCGAAGAAAAAAAAGCGAAAACTGTGCTCTGCTTTTTTTCCTCGATATTTATATACAAAAAAAGGCATAAAAACTTTATCAATAGTTCATAAATGTAATTATAGGAACGCTGACTTCCATCACAAATCAAAAATCATGAAGAGAGAAGAAAAAAATAAATAAATTAACACCTGATAGCAAATAAAACCATTCAAATCGAAAAATGGTCCACAGATCTTAGAAAAAATGAAAAATATATTGCGCTTTTCAGTACACATAAGACAACGCACATAACTCACCTTTGAGAATTTTTTCACAAAAAATGAATAAAACACAAAAATATTTCACAACTGCGAAAGTTTTAAAAAGAAAACAGCAAATTTACGTCGTTGAAAAATAAACAAAACAAAAGAAGGCGCATAAAAATAGATCGGATCGAGAACGAACAAATGTATTAAATTATTGGCTCGAATAAAAATAAAAAATTTTTCAAGAGAGTAGACAGTTTGATTGTTGGGCAGATTCATGATCATTCGCACCATTTATTACTGGTTCATTGGATGGATTAACGAGAGATTTTTTGGCCGAATTTTGTATATCATACACAGCAATTAGTTTTTGTCTGGTCCTTTTTGATGTATCATTTGAGTCATCATTAATGAGAACATTTGGATTAATCACAGGACTCGTATGAGTAAAATCTTTTGTATTTGTAGGTGTTTTTGAACTTAATTTAGCTTCAGGACGCTTTGGAGAATGTTGTTGACTGGTGGACTCGAGTGTGTCGGTTAATGCACGTGGTTTTACAGAAGACGATGCTGGAGAGTTTGCAGAAGATTTTGAACTTTCTTGAATAGAACTAACTGTTCGTGCTCGCACCGAACTAGGAGAAAACAAAGGTTCTGATTCATTATTGTTCTGTGACGATAACGGTTCTAATGACATTAAAATATCACCACTAAATCGTCTAGAATGTGTTTTGTAGATACCATTATGATGTTTCTCGGATACTGACAAAGGATCTATCACGGATGTTATATTCTTTGTATCTGATGCTGAAGTTGTGCGCATTCGTGCGGAATTTTGTGTTCCGCGTAAATTTACGCGATTACTAATTGACAATTTTTCATCTGGAGATTCAACTTAAAGCAAATAAAAACATGATAAATTTCAAGTTATATTACTGATATTTTTCAGTACTACTATTTTCTTATGGTGCACATCATTCTTGCGAATATTTATGGAATTAAGAAAAGCAAATTATTAAAGTTTGTTTAAGAAAGATTATAGTGATATGGCACCTTTTAGTGGTAATGTTCTGCTCGTTGTTGTGTCTGGTAAATACTGACGCTGTTCAATGAGTTGTTGACCTTGATTTCTCACAAATTGCAATAATGATTTGTAACCGTAACTAAATAAAATACCTGATTTAGTCAACTCAAGTATTTGCCTTTAACAAACAACCAGCATGGGATTGCAACTTGACAACTTTAATATAAAATCAATGTAATACCAACCATTCATTTTCAGCCCATGTTTCCAGTTCGGAAAGACCACGTTGGAGACTGAACATATGTGTTGATAAATTGTTTATTCTTAATAAATTAATAACTTGACTCAGCATTGTTTGGCTTTTTAATATCAATGAAAATAAAAATGCCCACTCATAAAACTCAGCCGATAAAAATATATCATACAAATATCTAGTCAGAAAATATAACAAATTTTGATTGATTAAATAATATTCAGTAACAGATTAATCCGATGAGTAATTAAAAAATCTACCTTAATTGTTTTTCACATAACGGTGGTCCACGATTTGCTAATTCTTGACTGAATGTTTCAATATCTCGGTTTATATCGTCAATTTCAGAATCAATTGGCATTGAACTTGTTTCAGATGTCAAACTTACTGTATCGACTAGAAAAAACCAAATCCTTTTATCATTTTAAATTAGATAATAACAAATAACATACGAAAGTCTTTTGTTTTCTTCGGTGTTAAATCGACATCTACTTCTTCTTTTGATGTTGTACGTGATACTTCTGTTGACAGTAGACTATTAATCGCTTTTTCATCTGATATTAAAAATCGGCATTGTGTATTTTATTGCTGATTAGTAGGGAAAAAAGTACATACAATCTCTACGATCTGGAGTGAAAATACCGGAATCTGAGTGGCCATTTTCAGTACTGGAAGGCGTAGAATCTTTATCTTCTATGAGTAGTAAAAGGAAATAAAGGACACTTATCCATTTTTTTGTACCTTAACATACTGTAAACAGGGTTAAAATAGACTGTTGGTGATATACAGACAGGAAATGGCCAATGGAATTCGAGGTGAAGTGCTTTCAGGATTTCAGTATAATTTGAAATAACTAATGCTGATTCGTGTCTAAATAAATCGAATTTGATTTTTCCATGTTCGACAGAGGACCGATCATGTAAGTGCATACCTGTGAGTTTTGAGCCATGTTAAAATATCGAAATCATTAATATTTGCTGCCATGTAACCCAGATGTCTTAGATGACCTTTACTTACGCTCTGTAATGCATGCTGATTCAATGTACGTTGAATAAAATTAGATGAGACTAATGGACTTGATGAATTCACATTTGAAGAATGATGACTGTTATTTGTACTCGATAACAATGATAAAGATGCTTGTTCACTATCCTTTTTCGGTGATCTAAATAATAGGAAAAATACATCGATATATAGTTGGAATCCATCAACGCACTCTGTATACCAAAAGCATACTTCTTATCTGAGAAGCTTATTATTCTCTGTAGATCTCGTCGATTTTGTTGTCGTTGTGCATTTGAATTTGATGATGATGATGTTGGAGATGATTGAGTTGCCGTGAGTGCAGCTGAGGATGGTGCGTTGTCTGAGATTGTTGATATACCTGCTCCTGTTACTACAGCAGTAGTATTTGTTGTTGATGTGCCACTAACTGACGTTGTTGCAATAGTCCCCGTTCGTTGCCGAAGATTAACCACATAGGTAAACTTAAGGGCGTCTTTATGAGGAGACAATGATGATTTTTGTGCTAAACTACTACTAACTCGTCCACTTGATGTTGCTGGTATACGAGAAATGGTTGAGCGTATATTTTCATTGCTATTCAAATCATGAGGATCTGTACAGTTCAAAACATTAACACACTTTAGTCAGATATAATCGAAAGAGACGTTTAACTCACCTATTGAGTGTATGAAACGGATAATATCTACAGCCAAATCCCATTCAGCATTCTCAAGTGAATGTTCAAGTAGAACTTGTGCAAACTAAAATGGATGGCAGCAGTTCTGCAACATTGAAATAATAAAAAAGAAACTATTGTTTTACTTGTTTGCTGATTTCACTTCTTTCAAGATTTTGTATTATAATCAGATAGGATGAAGCTGTCTCTAGATTATTTTGTTCGAGACATTGCTAAAATTCGAAAATTGAATTATTTATCGATGTTCACTCTCAATTGTTCTTGTTTTTATACTTTGAACAACTGTTTCGGATCTCCGATAATCGAATTCGAAAATAAACATGGCCATAAAGCTACTTCGGTTTTACGTGCACAATGTGAAACAATTCGTAAATACTGCGGAAATAATTTGATAAAGTCAGCAACACGTGGCAATAATGGATCTAAAATTTGAATTTCATAATACGATAATTTTATTGTGAAGATATTAATCGTGCAGTTGGTGATTATCAATCATGTTTCACACGAGGAAAAATATTTTCTATCAAAAACTACCCCATATTTATACTATATTTCTCGTACAATACATATTACAGCATGCTAATTTTTCTTTATTACAGTAAACAAATCGCCGATATATCTATCAATTAGCGAGCATTAAAAAATGTAAAATTTAAGCACAAGAAGCAAAAAATTTAATCTGACATATTCTCTAGAAGAATCAAGTGGACTGCTTTTGCTATTAAATTGGTTTGTTACGAAAATAAACAGTTGGATACTAGAATTATTTTGACTACATGAAATAAAAATTGACTGTACCTTGTGATGCTAAAACAGTCAAAAACTTCTCATTCTACAAATGTATCCTTCTCTGCAGCATGTATGTCATTTTCTTATGTGTGACAACCACCTCGACTGTAATATTAGTTTAATAGCACCATAAATCTTTCTCCCTTTTTCTACTGGTTAGATGAATTCTTTTTACCTGGAATTGGTTGTAAAGATGTTGCTTCTTCTTCCAATACTTTATGCAACAATAATTCTAATACATGTGAAAAATGTGGCAAATGTTTACATGTTTGAGCAATTTGCAATGCGTCAAAATCCAAACTAAAATCAAAAGAAAGTTTATTTTCAACATTTTAAATGTTTAACTACTAGAAAAATTGCCGGACTTTTTTCTGATTAATTCTTGAAAGACATGATTGAGGAAGACTTGTGTCTGAAATAAAAAATGTCACGATTAAAAGAAAGAAATATATAAATGAATAAACAACATACATTTCTTGTTACTGAACAAAATGTTCTTGAATTATAATTATAAACTTCAGATATAGCACCGAGGATAACAGCTTCTTCAACGACAATAGCTGTGGGTGTAACAAAGTAAAACAAATTACAAATAGTTTTAAAAGATTGTAGAAAAACGGTACCTAATGGATAAATTGTTAAACCAAAATTGAGCATTATACGAGAGGATTGAAATATTGGCTCATCCGCTTTTCTAGATAACGGCAACCACACCTATTTGAATGACAGTATGTTGAAAAATTTAGCCGATAAACCATTTTACTTACTTTCATCCCCTGTAAGCCACAACAAAGCCATAATGCATTGGACAAATATGGATTTGTTGAATTCTGACGTGAAATTGTCCACATACCTTCTACCCATGCAGCAATCATAACTGGTGGTAAAAAGCTAACTGTTTGTAATGTATTTCGTTTCCCAGGTTTTTGTAGTATCAACGACGAATCACCTTTCTCTTGCTGTAACAATAATAATCGACCGCAAACATTAAGCAATATGCTTTGTGGAGAATTATCGTGGTTTGAGGATTTCGATTGTGGTAAACCTATGAAAATGTAAAAATATAATAGACCCTCTCTCTTTTGAAATAATTCACGATAGAAATATGATATAGTCCTGTGGTTTTTACCATTATCTTGTAAAAAGTTTAAGTAAATCTCAGCAATTTCAGATTCTAAGTGTGTCTTGGTGTATACATCCATTGGACTTCCGAATCTTATCAATACATGAGAGCATGCTGAACCTCATGACAATGTCAGATTTAGAAAACAGTGAGATACCCCAGTGAACAGGAGTTATGACAAAGATCTACTATTTTCAGCTATAAGAGTCTAAAAATAACAAAATCATATTTCACTCAAAGTTTAACCAAGTCACTTGAAACTTTCGGTGAACTCTGTTTTAATGGATTTTTATGGTGATCAGACTGGAAGAGTAAAACCGCTTTCCTATCCTTGGTATTTCACAGGATTCTATATAAACGGTTGTAAGAAAGAAGATGAATTCAGAGTTTCTTGGTGTTCCAAGTGTGCAATCTATCCATTCGATCATATGCCGAAAGTTGCTCGTATGATCTGAAAAGGCAGGTTCTGGTGGTCTCATTTTTCTTCCGCCCGTATAGAAAAGGATACAGGACTTAAGAGTTGCGTCAATTTTAGAGCAGATATCGCGTTATAGAAACATGTCTTTAGAACAAGAAGTACAATGAAGTTTTACAGAACGGCAACCTGTCTAGTCAGGTACAGCATGGTACATCTGTAATTTGAAAATGATATCTTGTCTGTGAACAGCTCCGAGTTTTTACAATACAATGGTGAAAACCACCGGTCTGTATCATTTTTCTATCACAAATGATTTCAAAAGAGAGAGGATCATTTCGATGGATCGTATTTAATAGCAAAAATAAGAGCTACCTGAATCTGTTCGTAACGATGTTAAACCAACAAACGGAACAAATACAGCATGCGGAACATACGATTCAACAGATATTTCATGTAATTTAATCAATTGTGCGCAAGAAGCTGTTAAAAGAACATAATATGTTAATCAGCAAAAAACTTGTTTTATAACTCTTACCCAACTTCATTTCTTTTTTTTCTATTGCATATAACATGATATGCAAATCGTAGCAAAATACAATTAATGTATCATCACAGATATTCATACATACAATAGGAGATTGTATACGCGTTACATTAGAAAAAATGTTATCAAGATTGGTTAATCGTGAATACACACGAATCTAAAGAAAGCGTAAAACAATACTGTATATAGACTTTTTAAATAGCTGAATATTCTCATAATGAAACAATATAGTGTCATACTGTACGCATGCATTCTAGGATGTCGATTAGTTTTGCTGCTGCATCTGTCATAAACCCATGCATGAAAATATTAAAAGTAGTTCAAAAATAGAAATAGAAAAACACAAACTGAAGAAAGTGTGGAGAAAAAAATTCAGTTGTGAAAAATGTTCATATAGATAATATATAAAGGCGGCAAAACACATGGTCTTTCCGTTTCAACTGCTCAAATTTCTCGCTAAGTGAAATCAAGTTTGGAATATTAGAATATCTATCACCATCGTTTTAAGAGCTTGCATTTGCATTCTTACTTCACGCTTTGGAATATACTAAAGAAAATTATTGTATAAGTCGTGACTTTACTCTATTTTTCATACGATTCTATCTCTTACATCATCCCGACTATCACTGTTTGAGGTAGAACCACAAATAATGAATTCTTGCCACCATAGTAAACCGCCAACTACACGAATATCACGTTCCTAGATACAAAAGAGAGAAACTGTGTGATGTTTACTCATTTATGATTTTTAATTATTACTTGTCCAGCATTTCCAAATAATTTCCATTTTCTTGTTAATAATGATAAATGAGCAAAGCCATGTTGTCCAGCTACTGCTAAATATTGTCCAGTATTATCAATACAAGCGAACTAAAGTCAGAACAATGAAAATGTTGACAAAGAAGTAATGTATACTCAAGTACTACTCACTTTAATTGGCCAGTTATTATGAATATAAAGCTGTGGTACTTGAATAATTTGCCAACCAACATCATATGCTATCGTTGACAACAAGCTATTATTAGTTCCATTTTGTTCTTGTTGTGTTGAATTTGTTGAATTAATAGCACCACCACTTAGATATAAATGTATTTTATCTTCTGATTGCAACACAAGATGTTCAGTACTACCCTATTGGATAACAGAACAAAAAAACATAACAGATATCTACCATACTTTATTTCTTAAGTCCATACCGAATGTGGATTATTAATAACCGATGATTTCAAAAAATTTAACAATAATAACTGACTGGTATCCGCACTATTTTTATCGAATGTACTGCCAGTGTTATTAGATAATGATACTGATCTTTGCTGCTTTTGAGATGCAATCCACATTGTATACCCATCGGGTCCCCACTCCTACAAACAAAAATATATGTTTTGCCATCCTAGAAAGGAACACCAGGGATGATATACCAAATGGATTCATCAAGTGCCCGAAACTCATGATAAAGGTTTAATTCGGTCAAAAAATATGTCAATCATTTTCAATTTTACATTTTAGCAAACTTTTCTACAGTACTATATTAAATGTATCGTAGAGACTTACAATAACGTTACATAAGCCATATGATTGCATTGAAGTTCTAAAAAGAAATTTTTATTAACATGACAAAAAAATGTGTCAGGAAAAGAGCTAACAGCAATTGGTGTGAGGAATAGGAACAATACAGTAAGATCCCGAATACTGTCCATACAGCAAATGCTCCATTATCCCATAATGTACATAATACTCGATAATCAGGACTCCATTTCATTGAACATAACGAACCTAGCGTTTCAACCAAATCTTTTCACAAAAGAAAAAAGAAAATTCAAATAAACAACGATAAATGACGGGAACATAGTCTAATACTACAGCTACCTGGAAAATTCTCAACACTTAAACGAATTTTGTATGCCAGTTGCAACGAAGATGTTAATTCATCAATATAGTAGATAACTCCTTGACCGCTAAAAATAAAATAATCTTACAAAATTTATTTTCACCAACACATTATGAACATACTTCGTGGTTCCAAATGCTAATAATTGATAAATTGCATTTAATGCAACACAACAGTGTGTTTTCCATATTTTTTCTTCACTTGACGGCTGAATAACAATACACTGACATTGCTAAAATAATAAAAAATAATGAAATAATCTCAGAACATTAATATTTTCTTTTACACTTGGTTCGAATCGTGATGTTTCACAAATAATTAAACCGCATGTACCATCTGAGAAAACAATTCCAATTCCGTTAAGCAATGAAGAAAATTCGATTTGTTTTGCATATAAGCCCGGTTTATTCAATTTAAATGCTAAAAAGAAAGCCTTTGTAAGGACCAATGATTTCATTTGAGAATTCTAATTATTTACTTCTATCAGAGTTTAAACATATCGAACATGATAATGTGTTTAGTGAAATTGTATAATTATTCAAAATAGAACCATCCCATGTAATACGATACAATAAGCCCGTATTAGTTGCAACTAAAAGATCTTGACCAAGATTGATCATTCTAGAAAATGATTAAGATCTTATTGATAGATAATAGACAAAATTCCACAAAAAAAACAATTTACTCTTCAATTCCACTTTCGACATGTAATACGCCATCCTGAACAACTTTAATACGAACCATTGGAAATGAAAATTGAGCTTCATTATTAATTCGAATCAAATATTCACTGAAAATAAAATAAATACGTTAATTTAGAGGGATTATTGTCAAATATGCGATGGAGTGTCTTTTACAGAGTCAGTTAAAGAAATACAGAACTTTATGGAACTGAATAAAAACATGAGTAAAAGTTAGGTATCTTTTTAAAGTACAAGAGAAGAAAGAAACATTCGAGTTAGTCATATCGAACAAGATTAGTTCATTTCAAAATGTTAACATACCAAGCATCCTCATCATTTGAAGAGGCAAATAAATAGGATTTTGGAGTCTCAAATGATATTTTATAGTAAATAATATAACCTTTTGTTGTCTAGAAAAGTAAAAAAAAATTATCAACATATATTTAAAGACATTAAATATTTGTAAGTGTAACCTACTGCAACTGCTATTTTCTGTCCGTCATAACGCCATTCAGCATAAACATTTTCGCCATGAGTCGTTATTGAATTTTCGGAACGTCGTACGAGACCTACTAATGTTGTGGCCTAAATGAAATGTGACAACAACTCTACTAGTTAACTCAGAAACGAAATAAAAAAAAATGCTCACTTTCGATAGCCATATGCTGATAATTGTTGGAGTTAATACAACTAATTTTAATTTATCTCTTGTTGCTCGAATAAAGGTGATAGTATACGGTTCATTCAGTGGTAGTGAATAAATTCGAAATGAACCAACTGGAAAATACATGTTGTCATTTAAAACTAAAATAAGCTTATAATATTATTTACAAATCGAACAAAATCAAGCACTTAATATATTATTAAGAAAAATAATTTTGAAGAACCGTATTTAACTAATATTTTCTGAAATATTTAGAGATTGTAAGATGTATATCAAAGCTTAATCGTATTTGAGTGTATGAATCTTCACTATATTCCAAACTGTCCTTTCTTTTGCTACTCTCCATATACGAAGAAAGCTACCCAGGTGAAACAGAACTGACATTTAATAAACTATGTAATGCGTTTTAAATGTATGCCAAAAAAGCTGGCCTTTAACACATAAATAACTGTTATAAAACTACCAGGTAACACTCAGTTTATTGTCTGTTATGTAATTGTTGAAGAAAAGGCAGTTAACAGTCACTGTTTACTGTAAATTTTTGACTGTTATAATGGTAAAAAGCAGGTATTTAACTGTGCATTCTAAAATGTAAAATAACTGTCACAGTTAAATGGCAATTAACAAGCCATTCTTCAATTGCAAAATATACAGCGAAAAAACTTATCGTTGGTATTGTAACCGGTCCGGCCGTACCGGCCCGGTTGAGTGAGTTGAACCGGCCGGTTTTCACCGGTTTCACAAAGTTGTGCATATTCGTTCATTTTTCATCAGAAAGATACTATGTATGGGTGCTTAGTAGTTTTTTTAAAGGAGAGAGAGTGACAATTTTATTTGAAATGTAAATTTTTTCTTTTTATTCTTTCAATTTGTTTTCAAAGACAAAGTCATATTATTTATTGCTTAAAATATCTTAGCAATCGGAACATTGTCACGTATTG